TTGTTGTTGGTTTGTTTGTTTTTTAAACTTTGAACATTTTGTTATTCTATTTTCTCATTCCGTGCTTTCCGTCTGGGTGTGAGATCATCTGGTTACGCTGAGAAAGGGCCCATCTCTTTCTGTGACACTTGTGTGGTTGGTACTGGAGCTCCTGGCGGTACAGCTGGCGGCATGAACTTGCTGAGGCTAGAGCAATCGAGAATGAAGGATGGAATTCGGGAATCTGCAGTCTCAAGAACACATGCATTCAAAGCCGTGGAGATTTGCACTTTGCCAGCCATCAGCAAAATTAAGAAGCGCTAAAATGCGGAGGCAAGACTTTCTGTTCACAGGCGACGGAGCAAAGGTGGTTTCTTGCCCCATGAGCCAGCAGACATACAATTAGACACGCCTTTCCCTCCAGAATGGTGCAGGTTCAATGCTCTAAGGAGCCCTAGGCTTTATGTCCTGAAATGTGGCAACCCCAACCCCGCTGAAGCTGTAGGTCACAGAGCTGCAGTGGGTGGCAATTTACATAACCTCTGGCTGTTTGTTTAAGTATTCTGTTCGACACAGAATTAAAATGTCTTGCAACGAGTCTACGGAGCTTTAGGTTTGATCCCAGAAGCTGGAAATTTCCATGAAACCCTATAGAACGGGTAACCCCTGCCCTGCCAGTGAATTCAGGGCCAAGAGGGATAGTCCTCAAAGCCCAGATTGAGTACAGAATCTCACAAAAGACCAAGCCAGAAGCTGAATGGTCCCCAGTGTACCCTAAGGACAAGACAAAACCCCTAAGCACAATGCTTTAACACAATTCCTGAAACCTGATTTCTAATAATATCCTGTCCTTGATTCCTGCAAAGCTCTCAGGCCAATCCCAGCAAGAGTACGGGATAAGAAGCTTCTAGAAAAAGATTGAGGTGGCCACAGTTCTCTGGAAACTCTGCTTCTAATGTAGACAGCTGGCTGAAAGGCTAGCATCACTAAGAGCACCCCCATGCCACGAAGACCTGTGCCTAATTGCAGATGAGACAGGAACAATGCTCTAGAAACAAGAACCCTACTCAGCAGTCATTGGCCACTACTGCATATCCAGCCCCAGGAGTTAGCCACCAAAGTCAGCGCCGTGCCAAGATGGGAAGGAGTGTGTGCACAAAGTGATGGAGGACTATCTCTAGGTCTGCCCTTGGGACTATCTAGACCTGCTCTTGACCACGGGTAGCCCTTTGTGTCTGGATTACCCTCATTCTTCCAATTGTGACAGGGCTAATAATAGCCTGTATCGAGAGCAGCTAACCCTGCCTCTGACTGACATAATTGATATCGTTTAGGGGTCTTGAATGGGTTTGTTTTTTTCGCCAGTTAAAGAATTAAGAGGCAGGAACAATCTCATAGCAGGTGGCAACAGAGGAATCTCAAACGCCGTAAACAGGAGCAGACAAACCAGCAGTGGAAGAAGAACATTTACTGAGATGAGAAAAGACATACACGCAGCGAGCACGCAGAGAAAAGGACCCTCTGCAAAGCATCGGGGGAGGATTCAGAAAGCAGAAGAACCCAGTTTCCTCCTGACAGCTGGGGGGGTTTAAAATCTCTGAAGGGTTTTCCTCCCTTAATTTCGGATTGGTCATTTTGGGAAAAAAAAAAAAAAGCTGGGATGGGTGATTGCTTGTCAACTGCTGACCCTCTGTGCAACAGGCCCCCAGCTGGCCTCGAACTTGCTGAGGAAGTTCATCCTTAGGGGCTCTGCTAATGAGCAAGGTCTTTGTTTTATGCTACCAGACTTTTGTCTCAAGTCAGAAGGGAGGGCAAGGAAGAAACCATCCATCTTGGAAATTTGCCACTTTTATTACCTAGCCATGACCCCTCTCCCTACCTGTCTGTCTAACTCCTGGTATCTCATAATTAGCTCTTGGCATAACTTTATTGATGGCATTTCTCTGCCAGATCTTCTTCCTCTGTGCCAAGAATCTAACATCTCCTTTCCCAATTCCAGGCCATTTCTTCCTCCCTCCTGTGTGCCTGTAGCTCCCTCTGACTCCTGTCTGTGCAGCAGGCCAGGTGACAGAGACACATTGTGTACGTGCCATGGGCTGGGCTTCTAAGAATCCAAATCCTATCATCTCCTGTGTCCAATGCCAGCAAATAGGCAGAAGGCAAAAATGTGCCCAAAGATACCTGTTGAGTTTCAAGGAAACTCCACTCTGTCATTGCAACATCTTTCCATACTTGGCATCTTCATTCGATTCCTCAGTGTCAGAGTGTCTGTGAGCCAAACAGTTGTCTCAATTAAAAAGCAAGACAAAGAGACGAACAAAAACCAGTGAGGATTCAAGGTTCTACTGCTTTATACACACAGCTGAGGAAAACATTTAACTTGCCTGGATTCTCATCTCTCTGGAAGGACCGGGAAGCAGTTGGGTAGACCAAGTATCTGCTGCAGCAGAGGGTGAGCGGACACTGAGTTGATGTCCCTTCCTGTGCTCTCGGGTTTCTCCTTGTTCTACCTGCAGAGCAGTTAAGGGCAGTTCTTTCTACCCACGCAGCATCTGTTTGTGGATGGAGGGCCTCAGCAAGGGCTCCTGAGCCCTATGACAGCACACGTTAGAGAAAGAAGAGGTCTGGACTCCCAGATTCCTCGGGGAGACTCAAGAGCCTCCATGATGCTGTTCAGTCACCCTTCCAAAGTCTTCAAGCCATGGATAGGTCCTGATGCGGCTGAGGTATCCCAAGTTCTACCTGCTGTGACAGCAATGAACTGGGGTAGCCTCAGATGCAGTCTGAGAAGGGATGCTGGGGGTGTGCTCAGATGCCAAGAGGGAGGTGATTTCCTTATTCTGGGAAAGCCTGGACTGCACTGCACACCTCCTATGACTGTTTGAATGTTCCGACTTTCCTAGGAGAGGTACGGGGTGCTGTAGTCATGTGTACATGGCATGAGGGGTCAACCGTGCCTCAGTCTGAGTGCCCGTGTTTACGTGGCATCTCCAAGGCACACATTGGTCATGAGCATCGCTCAGAATGGTAGAATGAGGCCAGATGGCGAGCATCTTTAGTCCCAGCGCTCTGGAGGCAGAGGCAGGTGGATCTTTGTGAATTTGAAAACAGTCTGGTCTGCAGACTGAATTTCAGGCTAGTCAGGGCTACATAATGAGACTGTCAAAATAATAAATAAATAAAAACAAATAAACAAACAAAAAACAGACAAGCAAACAAAAACTTTCCAGAATGGCAGAATGGGTACTGATGTAAAAGCATACAGCAGGAAGTTCAGTATTAGGTAGAAATATGAGTATGTTTTAAAGATTCTGGTAATTATCTTTAGGAAAAAATATCCTGGAAAGTGTATTCTGAGTCTAGAGTATTTCAAGCTTCTCAAATTAATGAGATTTGTCAGACTCTTTCTGTTCAACCTCACTTCGATCTAGGAAGGAGGAGCTGAGCTCATGTTTGTGTGGACAAGGGTAGAGCTGCATTCACCTTGACCTGTCGTGGAAACAGCGCTCTGATCCTCACTGTGTGCACACAGGCTGCTCCTCCCTGGAAGAGATGACAGTGTCAACTGCTTCTACTTTGTCCTGTTCTTTCTTTTCTAGTTGATGCTGCCTGTGTCACTGTGCAAACTAAAAAGATAGGCTGGACATTGCTATCAAACAGCCCCAGAATGTGCCCTACCCCTGCCCATGTCCAGCTTCTGAGAACAGAGCTTCTGCCATCATGTGGAGCTTGCTTTTTCTATGTGCACTGCAAGAAACAGTGTTGAATGTCTGCTATGAATATTTGAACAACTTCAGGTGAAGTTCAAAGTGCCACAGGTACAAGTTGTCCCTGGAAATGTCAGTTGAGCAGAAAGCACCTGATCAAGTGTCCTTTGCAACCCCTCACCCCCATGGAAGCTTAATCCTGCAGAGTTATGTGACTGCATTAGCCTCCTGTTCCCCTTGGCCTCCTGAATGAGGCACCTAAACAGCATGATGGACTGGAGCTCTCTGGAAGGAAGAACTGGAATGAGCTGGTCCTGGGTGAGCCTTGTTCCCAGGTGCTAAGCACTGGAAGGTTCCCATGGTGGTCAAAGGGAAAGCTAGTGCCCTGGGGCTCAGGAAAGCCCATGTGACCTGGGCCAACAGTCCCAAGTTCAGAACTGCCTAGAAAGAAGCAAGGACAAGGTCAGCCTATGGCTGCATCTGAGGCCTCGAAGACTGGCTAAGTAAGACCAGTCACTCATCTTGGGCCCATTTCTATGACTACAGTTCACAAGATGGCTGTCACTGGGAATTCTGGGCACACCCTATACAACCAGCAACCCAAACCAAGCTCTTGGCCACTAAGCCAACCTCTACTCCTCCCTCAGCTGGCCATCCTTCCTCAGGCAATAAGCATCTCTCTGTAGGCCTGTCCAGAAATCCAAGGGTTGCAGAGGCCTATACCTAAGCAGGGCTGTGGGAAAGAAAGGCCTGGAAAATTCTAGAATGAAAACAGAAGAAACTCACAGGGATGGGCTCATGTTAAGGGCAAACAGGTATCAGACTTCCAATGCATCACTTCTTGGTTGGGTCCATCTGTCAGGCAAATGGCCTCTAGTAGCTGATCCTTCATGGAACTTTCTGTTGACTTCTTCTCTGCTTGACAGTGTCTGTGGAATCACGCTCCTCTGGGGCCCCAGCCATGTCCTACAAGTCAGACATGTGCAGAAGCACTAGAAGCAAGCACCTGACCAGAGGGATGTGTACTTGCAATGGTGGCTCCCCTTGCCCACCTGATCACTGACTGCACTGATCTAGACTTACAGGGTCCCTGCCCAACAGTGATCACCCCTGTGGTCCCATGGTCTGCAAAAGCAGTATACACAGGGTCTGGGGAGAGACAGTAGCCCTGAGAAGAAGGTACCTCTGGGTAAAGAGATGATTTTAAGCCAGGCCTACAGGACACGGGCAATTTCAGTTTATCTTGTGATAGAACCCAGTAAAGGGTCAGATGGCAGAGTCTGAAAAATATTGGCATGAACTGAATTTTGGCTCAAAAAACAACTTGCCAGATTTCCGAGCGCCAACAGGGCGCCGATAAAAGTAGTGTGATCTGTTCCTAAAGTTCGGTTTTGATTTCCCTTGTGAACTATGGAGAGTGACTTTTACCTGCGTTACTACGTGGGTCACAAAGGCAAGTTCGGTCATGAGTTTCTGGAGTTTGAATTCCGACCTGATGGAAAACTGCGATATGCCAACAACAGCAATTACAAGAATGATGTCATGATCAGAAAGGAGGCTTATGTACATAAAAGTGTGATGGAGGAATTGAAGAGAATCATTGATGACAGTGAAATCACCAAGGAAGATGATGCTCTGTGGCCCCCTCCTGACCGAGTAGGCCGGCAGGAGCTTGAAATTGTCATTGGCGATGAACACATTTCTTTTACAACATCAAAAATTGGTTCCCTTATTGATGTCAACCAGTCTAAGGATCCAGAAGGCTTACGAGTGTTTTATTATCTTGTACAGGACCTGAAGTGTTTAGTCTTCAGCCTTATTGGATTACATTTCAAGATTAAACCAATCTAGATTGGATATTGTGGACATGAGAGGGTGGGAATTTTTAGTTACCATAATTAGGAATTTTTTTCTGTATATGGGGGCAATTTTTATAAACAATAAATGATGGTCTTTAATAAATGTGATAACATCTAAAAAAAAAAAAAAACAACTTGCCAGTGTTAAAGTTCTTTGCCTCTAACTGTCAAAATGAGCAAAGAGCATGTGTAACATGTTAAAAGTCCTGTTGATTTATCAAGATTCTTCAAAACCTCTTTTAGTATTTCCCATGTCAGCCAGAAAGATCAATTAGGCAAAAAAAATACAGACCAAGTCCATGGCATGAGGCCTCTAGCGATAAACCAGCGCATCTGGTCAGGGAGCACAGTGGAGAACAGCAGGAGGCATGCTATGTTGGTGGGCGGGAGCATCTGCAAGGGCTCTCTGAGGATGCTACATGGGCAGTAGGCGGAGGCCGCTTGTTTGTTTCCCAGCCACCCAGACCCGAAATAATCACGCAAAAACTGTATTAATTACAATACTCTTTGTCCAATAGCTTAAGCGTATTTTTAGCTAGCTCTTATACCTTAAATTAACCCATTTCTATTATTCTGTATATTACCATGAGGGTTGTGGTTTACTGGCAAGGTTTCGGGGTGTTTGTCTCCTTCTGTGGCTACATGGTGTCTCCCTGACTCCACCTTCTTTTCTCCTCTATCACTGCTTGGAATTCCAACCATGCTCTATTCTGCACTGTCATACACCCAAAATAGATTCTTTATTAACCAATAGTGATAAAACATATTCACAGCATACAGAGGGGAATCCCACATCAGGCAGAGACTGCAAGAAGGAAGGGGTAAGCCATGTGTTGTGAAGGCTGTGGAGATCTGCCTCGAACAACATCCCTGCTCACATAGGAGTCTGGTGTGAACAGGGAGGAATGTTCAGCATGTCTGTGACAGAGATGGGGAAATGGAGATGGCAATATAAACCTTCATACACATTATTCCACATGAGACAGATCCCTGGAGTCTTTGAGCTGTGGTGTTGTGGCCTGTTATTGTCATAGACCAATCTGGCTTCTGTTGAAAACTGGATCAGTCAGGAGGCTAGGAATACACGTGGCTCGGACTGAAATCTAACACTATAAAGTGATTGGATTCTGGAAGCAGTTTTCAAGTAGCTCAATGAGTCAATCAGAGTTGAAAGGGCAAACAACAAACCAGACGATTATAGGTCTTTGGCCTGAAGCATAGGAAGGATAGAGTAGCTCTTCACAGAAATAGCGGAGATGGGTTGTGAGAAAAGGCAGAGTGGGTTTTCAGTCATCTTTTTTTGCACATTACATAGTGCATAAGAGAAGGTATGTGTGGTCTGGAAGCTCAAGAGAAAGGCTGGGAGGGAGTCAGCACTCGGATGAGTGTTTCCATGGCTGCACAGTGTTTGAGGCTGCATAGAAGGGGCACAAGGTGCTGTGGCAGCAGCAAAGAGATAAGAAGCAGTCTGAAATAGTTCTGGATGTTTCTGTGCTGAGATGTCAAAAAGAAAGCGGAAGCAGTCAAGGGCCTTGAGAAAGTGAAAAGCTGGAGAAATGTTCAGGAGGTAAAGTCCTGAAGGTGAAGCAGAAAGTGCGGTGGGGGGGGGGGGGGGGGGGGGGGGGGGGGGGGGGGGGGGGGGGGGGGGGGGGGGGGAGTGGTAGAATGTCACATGATGCTGATGGACCAGAGTTACAACTGGCTTTCCTGATGTGACTTCCTGATGGCCTTAACAAAGAATGTCCTCATAATGTAAGTGGAAGGATCAATGTTTTAATTGAAATCGAGTCAAGCCAGATAGGAGGGAAGAAAGCAGAAAGAAACATGGACCACGACGAGGGACTTTTGTGTGACAAGAAGCAAACTCTTTAGGGAGATGCAAAGGTATGCATAAAGCATGGAAGTGCCTATATTTATTTATTTAATAGTGTGAACTTGACTTTAGTTTGCATATAAAGTAATGGGTTTCATTGTGACATTTTCATGTATATCTGTCATTATTTGTCATTATTATTCCCATTCCCCTGCCTGTTCCTATGCCTCCTTTGCCATCTCACTAGCTCCCTTCCTAACCACGGAGCACCTTCTGCTATCATGGCAACTATACTACACTGCCTATTCTGGCCCTCCTCGCCCCAGACCTCCCCATCCTGACTTACAGACCTGACCTAGTTTGCTTTCTAGTGTGGTGGGAAACCCCATCACCAAAAGCAGCATAGAGAGGACAGGGTTTGTTTCACCTTACAGCTGGCAGTCCATCATGAAGAGACATCTGGTCAGGGACTCAAAACAAGGCAGGAAGATGGAGGCAGGAACTGAAGCAGAGACTGTGTAGGAAGGTTGTGTATTGACTTGTTCTCCATGACCCACTCTGTTTTTTTTTTTTTTTTTTTTATAAAACCCAGAACCTCTTACCCTTGGGTGGCACACCACACAGTAGGTTAGACACTTTTCACGTCTGTCATTGGTCAAGAAAAAGCTCCACAGACCTGCCAATAAGACCACGTGGTGGAGGCATTTTCCCAGTGAGGTTCCCTCTTTACAAGTATATGTAAATTTAAATTCAGATTCTACACATGAGAAAAAATTACAATGTTGTCTTTCTGGGTTTCATTTTGCTTAATGTCATCATCTCCAGTCCCATCCGTTTCCAAAAGACATGACTTCATTCTTCATTACAGCCAAATACAATTCTCCTGGGTGTGTCTTTATCTATCTATCTATCTATCTATCTATCTATCTATCTATCTATCTATCTATCTATCCACTTATTGAAGAACCTTAGGCTGATTCACCCTATCTTGGCACCAGCATTACTACTACAAGAAATGCGTGTTTCTCCTTTTCCACCACCACTAGCATCTGCTGTTTTCTTCTGAGAAGGGATCTCGGAGCAGTTTTGCTTGCCTTTCTATGATGGCTAGGGGTGTCAAGAACTTTTCCAAATATTTCTTGATCATTTGTACCTTTTCTTATTTGTATCATCCCCTCCCTCCTTCCCCCCAAACATTTAACTTTTTGTCTCATTGACTCTTAGATTATTCTTTACCTTATATTTCATTAATTTCTGCCTTGATTTTCACTACTTCTTTCCAACTGCTATTAGGTTTAGTTCGCTCTTGTTTTTTTAAAGATGTTGGTGTACATCATTAAGTTATTTGTTTGCGATATCTCTGATTTCAGGATGTAAGCACTCACATTAGACATTTTCTTCTTAGCATTGTCTTAGCCGTACTCCCAAGTCTTGCTGTAGATCGTGGGAAAGAGAAGAGCCCATAAGCTCCACATGCTGTTGAGCCTGTCTGTGTTGGACAAGTGTCCATTGTCTCCCAGACCTGTTCTCAATGCAGCTTCTCTTCTGTGCATACCAGAGGTCTCTGCTGGCCACATTTACCTTCGAAGTCTGCAGGCTAAACAGGTTCTCCAACTCCTATGGTACTCTTCAGATCCTAGTCCCTGAGCTGGTTAATGTTCCAGCTGGGGAATGTTTCCCAAGTGTATGAGTAATGTTGAAGGCAATGGCAGCACTGGGAGCCTCACAGGCATCCCAGAGTAATGTGCTGGAGCCTCCGCAGCAGTAATGGAAGATAAAGTGCTTCCAAAGTTGACTCACTTGCTGACCCCAGGCTCCGGGATAGGAAAGTTCTGAGTTCTTCTCTGCTGATGAGGGTATCTGTACTTTTCAGTTTGTCAGTATCTGTCCCTCCCATGCATGGCCATTGCTTTCCAGGGCTGTTTTTCACACTGGGATGGTTAAATTCAAGTACTGTGTCTTGTGATGGTTTCCAGTTTTCTACCCCAGGGTAGCTCAGTTTTAAACAATAGGTTCACTCTCAATACAGAGCCAAGCCACTGTCTTCTGAGTCATAGAGAATGAATACCAAACACAGACCATCGAGATGGCTCAGCAATTATTCGTCTTTGGAATAGTTTTTTTTTTTTTCTTATTCAGACTTGTCCTTTGTTGGGTCACAGCTAGGCAACTTGTGGTTTGCAAATTAACTAGAAGCCAATATTTTCTTTTTTTTAAGATTAAAAAAAAAAGATTTACTTCCTTTTATTCTCCATGTGCCTGTGAGTGAGTGTACGCATTAGGTATACATACCATATGAGTTGCAGTATGTGTGAAGTACAGGCTGTTGGGGGGCTAGTCTATGTGGGTGCTGGTTACTCAGCCTGGGTCTTCTCCAAGAACAGAAAGTTCTTTTAACCACCCAAGCATTTCCCCAACCACAATCTTTTTCCCCACCAGAGAGATAATGTTAGCATGTTGTTATAGAGCAGGGTCATCCAACCTGCAGCGTGTAACCCAGAAAAGTTATGAACGCAGCCCAACACGAAACCACAAACTTATCTGAAACATTACGGAACTATTTTTGGTAACTTGATTACGTGGTTCTTGCGGGTGAGTTTTGAAGATGACAATATCAGGCCACAATATCATGCAAAATAAACTTATGTGCGCTCTTAATGTTTCTATGCGAGTATGTCTTCAATTTTACCGAGGTTTGTGGCTTCCAATCGTGTTATTTTCTAAGCACAGACTCTCACATCGGCATCGTCAGACATTACATGTGCTCATGGTAACTTGGGGAGTGAAACGTGGCCATTGTCAATGCAGACTTAACCTACCATTACGAATGATATTCCGTGTTGCTTAGAAGACAGGTAAGTATTCTTACTTGGTGAAGGGTGTTGCGCACTTCAGCTATGTCTGTCTGTGGTCTGTCTGCTGCATTTTACAGTTGGCCCTCTGCCTCACCCAGCATTCCATGAGTCATACAGCAGTCCACAGGAACTATGATCTTTACAAGTCTGAGTGCCCAAGCATCTCTTGCCACCATCCCCCACCCAAGCCCACTCCCTTGCATTCTCAGCAACAACAGGAGGGCCTGGCTTCTCTCTGCCTTGTTCCTCCTTGGTCTCACGGGCCAAGATGTAGACACTACCCTGTTTAAAGCAAAACTTAACAGAGTACAGTTGCTGAAAATTGAGAGCGGATTATAGCCCAGGAAGAGCACCAGCCCTTGGCTGTTGGTGTTGGCCTGTGGACATCAATTCTCTTTTCAAGTATGCTCTAAACATACGCCATGACCAGGTCCTGGGAATAAGTCCTC